AGAGAGAGGTATATAGACATATGCATACATATGTATGCATATGTCTATATATGTTTGTAAACATGTGCTTATTCACTTTTTTATGTCACTACACATTCCCTGTCTTGGAAGAAGTAAAGCCAGAATGCTTCTCAGAAGTGAGAATGATTAGACTTTGTCTCATATACTTTGCACATTATCAGGAGGAATCAGTCCCTGAAGGACATCATGCTTGGAAAAGTAGAGTGTCAGCCAAAAAGAGGAAGACTTCAACAAGATGCATGGACACATTGGCTACAACAATTGGCTCAAACAAAGCAGTAACTGTGAGGACAGCACAGGACCAGGTAGTGTTTACTATGCACTAGAACAGACTTGATGGCACCTAAAAACAACACATTCCTTAGTTTGCACTTGTGTATTAGCTGTTGCTCTTTTACCTTCCCTAAAGGAGACTCAGCGATGAAAAATTCTACAACCAAAACATCAGTCCTCACCTGGAAAATTCTACCTACACCTGGAGTAGAATTCCTGACCTTCTGAGCCTTCAGTTTGAATGCCCATGTCCCAAGACAGAGAGTTTTAAACGAAAGCACTCACTACCCTCACAGCCCTCCCTTGGTGCCACATATTGGGAGGAAATCCAAGTTTCCTCTTGTCACTTTTGAAGACTAAGGTAAAGCAACCAGAATAACTTTAAGACTAAAGTTGCTGAGCTTCTGAAAAGTACATATAGTGCTAAGAATACTCTGGGCTCCAACAGAGTATCCAAGAGAAGCAGTAGGATACAAGGGAAAGAGGTCTGCCACTAACTAGCTATGTGATACTAAGAATTTACTTCATCTCTCCAAACCTCAGTTTCTCTATCTATAAAATTGAGATGATAATACCACCATCCTCAAAGACAATCTACACAAAGCACATAGCTCTAGCTCAATAAATGTAAGATACACTCATTTGTATATACATACATACACTCAGATACTCTTGTGCGCACACACACACACATACTTTCACACAGAGACACTCACTTACATGTAAACTCATATATACATCCTTAAAGACTGTTGTGAAGATTAGCGCTAATGTATTACCAAGCACTAGGTCTAACTCAAAAAATGATAGTTACTATGCACAAAAATATGAATGCTTTAATGCTCACAGTAGGAAGAATGCATTAAAGCATTCATATTTTTGTCTTTGAGGATGGTGGTATTATCATCTCAATTGCTTTGTAGGGTTTCCAAGGCTGTAAATCTTTAAGGTGGAGAGGCTGGTGGATTCAAACCACCAGTCTATTGGTTAACCACTGCACCACCAGACATCCTAGGACCTCACTCTAGACCTATAAAAAAGAAAATCTGGGGGCAGAACTCAGCAATCTGTGTTTTAAGGTTATAGTCAGACCTTAATTTTTATCTACAAAGTTTTCTTTTTTTTCATTTAAAAACCCAGAATGTCCCTCCCTGTGACTTCTATCCGTAGAGAGTTTACTTAAGTTGTGATTGTCTGCTTCACTAAAGGACTCCATGCCAAATTACTTTAAAAGATAAGTTCACTTTAGGAGACTTCCAATAAGATGGAGGACTAGGCCAATAAGTGACACAGACCCTCTTCAACAAAGAAAAGAGAAACCAACTGACAGAGATACAGAAGATAATCCGGGAGCCCTGAGATTTGAAAGGAACTATACAGAAGTGGATTAGGTACCAACTAGTGGAAAAACCTGAATGGCAACAGTGAGTACAGAGATGGTTGGAGCTGCGGACTGTCAGCTACTCTGACAGGACCAATAGCCTGAATATTTCCAAGTGGTGTTGGGACCTGAGAATGGATCTAAAGATCAGCTCTGGTCACCAAGGGCTGCAGGGATGACTGCACTGGTGGCCTATGACTAGGAAGGAAAATGGCAAGGAGGGAGACAACCTGAGCAGTGGACTTCCTGCTGTCCAGAGGGCGCAGCCATTTTGATTGTTTACATGTGGCAGCCATTTTGGAAATTTACAGGCAGTGGACATTTTGGATATTTAAAGTGACTGAGGGCACAGCCCTTTTGAATCTTTACAAGTGGCAGCCATTTTGGATTTTAAAGTGATAGCATTCTCATTCGGATTCCAGGGACCTAAGAATAGGCTCTGTTTGCCAAGGTCAGCAGGGACATATGAGAGGCTGAT